CTCATACTTCATTTTGCATCATCAATACCTACAAAAGGGAATAAGAAAGTTAAGCTAAATGCTTTCTAACGATATTCTGATTTCCCATCAACTTACGATGTGATTGACTCGTTGAATCCTTCGTTCCACCAACCCAGCTGCGCTTCTTGTGTCTGCGTCGCCTGCCTCCAGCACTGATGCTGGGCGCTGGATCTCGATCCCAGGTCCGATATTCCAAGCCCTCACTAGGGCCAGCGGTGGCACGACCAACGGAACTGTCCGAATTGGGATTATTGTTGCTGGCGCTATCGTTACCTCCGACAGAGGGGGAGAGGGCTGCGGTAAAGGTGACGGGTTCGGGTGCGCCTGAGAAAGCAGTTGAGTGGATAGAATCTGGATCAGTGACTGCAGCAGAGGAAGAACAGCCGGTCACCAGAGAGTTGTCGAGGGGACTTGGGGAGCTGTGGCCTACAGGCTTAGAGCGATGATCTGGGATATAAAAAATAAGTACATAAGTGTATAAGTGTAAAATAGCTGTTGTATTTATCTATCTTTTTTTTATCAAATTCCACAACATTAGGAAGCTCTGCCATCTGATTACAATGTAGCTCGAATATGCCTCATGAACAGGTCGAGGATTTTTTTGTGCATTTGCAATTCATCTGAATACCTCGTCTGGAAAAGCCAGATGAAAAATAGTAAACTATGCGAATAATGTAAATAATAATATGATGAATAAAATGAATCTAAACAGTCGAGTAGGAAAGAGAAAGAATGACAAAGACGAGGGGGACAGGAGTTCAGACCGATTAAAGAGCATATGGAAGTGGAGAAAATATGCCCGAGCGAACTTTTGAAGATGCGGATTGTTGGCTGCGGATGGCTTGAATCTAGACCAAACATGAGGAGCCGAGTGTAAATAACCGGCAAATAGAAAAGATGCTGTGCTTCATATGCAAGTATACATGACCAACTAAAAGAGCATAAAGTGGTATGCAATACGTCGAAGTTCAGTAAAGTGAACCGAGGCAAAAATATGAGAGCAGCAGAGCTTTGTGGGTGAAGAGAAAAATGTGGAATTTGCCAAATGTGGGGAGCTGTAAATAGGGAAAGCCATGTTGTAGTGTTGATCGTACGATCTTCATTTTTAGTAACAAGACCAATTCCACAGAGAAGGCCGAGTCAGTGTAGTTGAGGCTTTAGGCAGATGAGGCGAGGTATTCGTGGGAAAAATCTAGACTAAGCTCAATGCGACCAAAGGAGTGGACACATAAAGTTGGTGACTGTAAAGGTTGGAACATACAGAACATGAGACCAAAACGTGGATTTAAATGGCTCCATCTGAGCTCAACTAGTCGCAATTGACAAAGTGATTAGGCGCAAAGGCTCAGATAAGAGCAATATGTGTTTGGAGTCGGTCTAGCGAGAACTCATACAGCACAAGGAGGGGTGATCAAGCACAAGATGTGGTATCAAGGAGGCTAAACAACGAGACAGCTTGTAAGTGCGTAAAAAGTACATTAACATAAAGTAGCAAACGAATATCCAGGCCAAATTTTGTCATAGCGTGGGAAAAATTTGTGCTAGGACGTTGGGTAGAAAGGTTCGACAACTTCTGCTCTCTCCTTCAACTAATAAGGCACCTGATTGGAGCAAGAGAAAAAGTATCACCATCAGCGAAATAGGTCGCGACTTATCTGTTCTCACAAACGATGTATAATGAATCGACGGCGTAGTAATCCATTACATTGGTACATTCGATGGTATAACACTGGACCTATCCTTGAAATGCATCAAAGGTGAAGTACGTGTTTAATTTTGAATACCGTCCTTCTTGACCTATTACCAGACCTCAGGAAGAAATAAGCAGCAGCTTTAGTTGAAACTGAATGTAGCGCATCATGCATGATACCTTTCGCTGGGTTTCGTCACTCACCGACAGATGGTCCATGAACAGTCCACATTCAGAATGAATTAAGGGACTTGACCTGAATATGCGGTCATTCACTTAACTCTGCCTTTATGTCTGAAGCTTCCATCTGTCTAGACAAGTGTAAATTAACGATTAAAGTATGTAAATATTATTAACGTCTTTCATACGAACAATTAAGTAACCGTGTATAGTCTATCTATTCGATTCTTTAGTCATTTCTATTCGTCAATTGATATTCAATTACAAAATATATT